GTCGGGAACTTAGAGCGTGTCCCGGCTGGGGCGGTGTCCCGCTGTTAGGAAATGAGGTAACTCCGCCAACCGTACTGAAGGTCGGCGTTGGATTTTGAAATCCAGCTAGAGAAGAACATCGCCACCTCCCGTGATTTAAAAACTACAATCACAAGATCAATAATAAAAATTCACATGATTTATCCGCGTCATCGGCGTCAACTGAAAACCACGAATCTCTTTCAATGCTAATTTAATATGAGGGCTGTAAAACATTTATGGACAACATGGGTTACTAGAATTTTTCAAAGTTACATTTACCCTCCCAAATGAAGTTTAAAATTTTCAATCTCAATATTTTACTCCGTGACGAAATTGTTTATAATTTTTATTTCTGTAGGATCCTCTTGCATCCTGTTGTGATGGTGCTTCTGTTGCTACAATTAAACAAGAGATCACTGAATATTACCGAGGTAAGTGTATGATATATTTTTTAATTATTTCCTGAACCAAGTATATAAACCATTGGGGTGGTAAGTACAGTACTTGGTACAAATTGTACCTGGGCTGTTCACAAAACAATGTGGCAAGATTCCCTTTCTCTTTAAATAGACTTTGATGCTGACTGATGCTTTGCAGACGCAAACTTCTGCACGGGTTAAACGGATCCGATGGTGCCCCAAAAGCACTGAAGTACGCAAATACTCAATGGAATTATAAACACTGTTTTATTGTATAAAATATGATTGCCTGTATTTATCGCTTGCTAGACTACACATTACTCGTCCAGATATTGGTGTAAATTTTGTGAATTGACGAAAAAGTAGTAATGAACAACTTATCACATTGCAAAAGTATTGAAATGGTCTGTCTTTCCTGATTCATCAGAAAGCGTCCCTTCCCTTTTTTATACCTTGCGATCAACCCCTTTCCTTGAAAATGGTTAAGTAGCTTGTTGTAAGTTAATTCAGTTCATTATCTGAAAATTGAATGAAGCTTCAGTGTAGAGCACTTTTCCAGTTTCCAGAGTAACTTATTAAACGCCTTTGAGAATGTAATTTCCAAGCACTTATTTCTCTGAATATCGTAGTAAAGATGTATTATAATATTCTTATGGAAGAAATGTCAAAAAAGACAATTTTTACTTCCTATCAGCTGACAAAGCTTTTTTCTCGTAAATTACCCTCTCAAAAACTTAGCAGTCAAAATCTATATTTTGGTGTTCCTTTATACCCAAAAATATGTGGTTGTTGTTTTTACTTCTGTCCGTCTGTGAACAATTCTAAGGCTTACACCATTCGTATGATTTAGTCGAAAACCAAAATTACTAAATCGAGAAGACCTGACTTAAAGCCCTGATATTTTGAAAGAGTTCTTTACATTTTGGTTTGTTTTGAAGCTTCTGAAACATTTTCAAAATTTCTAAAAATTAGCTCTAAATTTTTTCTTTATATTGTAGGAATACATTGAAATAGACTTATAAAGATGGCAGGATGGCGATTTTTACCGAAGACGCTGAAAATTTGAAAATCGCTGAAGTTCAACATTTTTATCCATCTCTTCTACATTGTTACAAGAGATACAAATCTTGTTCTTCAAATGAAATTTGTGCTCCACAAATAGTTCTTTAAAAAATGTATTGAACATTTTTTTAATGTTGGTAATTTCCGCGCAATTTTTACTGAAAGATGTACAATACAAAATTGAAATTTATACTGCAGTTTTGTATCAAAGATCTTTTACCTGTGCAAATTTCAAGATTTTATCTGGGTCCTCAACAGAGTTAATACTGCAAATAGTCTAAAATTCCAATTTTCCGGAGGGTGTCATTTTTAATTAGTGTGGTTCTTATTATTTATTTTTTACGCATTGTAACCTACATTGTTGTGTAAAAGAGCGCCGAAAGAATCGGGCTTTGAGTCTATTCCTTTGAAAATTTTCTGTGTGAAAATTGAAATTTGTTCGTTTGCGTCCGATAGATCTTTTGCATATATTACCTGAATAAAAAATATGTCTTTGTCTCGCAGAGTTTACTGAATCCAATACATTTTGGTTTAAAAAGCTATAACCTAGCGCTGAGTAATTTAAACTCCTTACGTATCTACAAACACGAATTGCGCGCGGTTGGAACGGAAACGTTATCCATTTGTGAACAGCCACGACCGATTCTGGTAGAGTGCTAAAGGTTGCCGCGGAACAACCGAAACTTATGAGATTTATTTACATATCAAGTTGTTATTTTCTAAGATGCGAGGCGACTTTTCCTTTATAATTCGTGATCTCTTAATCGAAATGACATTGGCCTTGTCCCGACTGAAGTTAAAGTATGAAAAAATATCTAATTGTTTCTTCGTGTTAGAATAAAACGAATGCTGTTTTTATTACGCTCATCGAGCAGACTATCTCTCAGGAGAGGTACCTGGATGCCCTGTGTATTTCCTTTGTCTTCCCCCGTATTTCATTCGGGGAGACGTGGTCAATCCAGGCTCTTTATTCGTGGGTCTCTTGTATTACTTTCCCTTCTGCGGCGAACTGAGGAAGTACTGACAACTTGAGAAAATCCTGATTGCTCAAGCATTCATGGTCATTTTTCCTTTTTGTTTTAGCCCGTGTTTGCTACAATTTTAGTTGGCAATAGTGGAACTGTTTGGCGCGTTAATATGCGCGACGAAAATATAAAATGCAATATTGCATTCAAATAAGGTTACTGTAGCTGAAATTGTGTTATCCTTTACGGAAGTGTTGGACCAAATTTAGAAATCTTATTTTGTGATGAAACTCAAATTTGAATAGGAAATCCTAATCCGAGAAATTCGATGATTTGGCAACGCATATATTGCCACCACTATTCCCCGGCCCGCAAGTCGAATGTCCAGGGCACTGAACAGAGCCTGTTTGACATTTATGAACCTCCGTGTCCCTCCGTCAGATTCCTGGCAACAAGATGGAAGACGCCTTCATTTCCGGAGATTGGCATGCTCTTAGAGGAAATCTCGTAGACACTCTCATCATGTCCTTTGTCTGTTTACGATAGCCAGCAGAGAATGACAGCAAAATACTGCCGATTAATCTTAATATTTAAGTAATATGAATGCGCCAATCTAACTTGCTTCAATTACATTTTCTGGTTATCACTATCTTTATTACTTGCCTATTCCAGCATTATGATGCAAATGCTTAGATTGAGAAGATCGACAGGACAAGTTTTAGTTTTTTGAACAAGCTGGCTCAGCCGTCTTTGCAAATGTCAGATATATATGTCTGTAAAATATCATATTTCATTCTTCATTTGAGAACAATTATCTATTGGGCATTTCTTTTAGGAGGACATTTTGGATTGAAATATTTTACGAATATCCACAATAATCCCCAAACACCGGCAACACAACGTAATAATTTCACTATTCACAAGACTGATCTGCCTTCTTTCCATTCGTAATCAATAACTTAGATCTTGGTTTCAAGCGGTAAGAAATTATCAACGAGACAGCAACAGCGAACTAATTCACGACGAACAAGTTGTGACCATGCAGGATATGCATTAATGAGTGCGGACCTCAGTGACGCGCTCCAAATACAGTTTTTTAAACATGATCTTATTTATCGATGCGAAAATATTATTTTAATTAATAAAACGATTAGTAAACCTGCGTCCTAATATGAACATTTCTTTGAAATATTTTGTGGTGTTTTAAGGCTAGCAGTAAATGTGAAAATTTGAGCACTTTTTCACAGAAAGTAGGTGTTTTGATTGAACATTTAGACAACCACTGCAAAATGGTAGCGCTGATATCCTGAACTGCATGCATAAAAAAATATAATAAGTTCTATGACAAAAATGAAGTAAAACAAAAAGTACTGCGGAAATAGAGAAGTTGCGGAGCTATGTACTTGAACTCATGCAAAATATAACTTCAAGCATACACGTGCAAGCAACATTTATTTTGCCGGCAATCAGTATTTTCTGTTACACTCTTAAATCAATCACCATTTACGAAATCTACTACAATGAACTGTCAGAAGGCAACGTAGTCATTTTCTTGACTATATTAAGTCTGATCAAGAACGAGATGATATTTCATGCCATGCTACTCATAAGATAAACAATCCAAATTATCACGGATAATATGAACAACCTTGTAAAAACGGAAGATTCTGTAATGGTTATTCAGTACTAAATCGGTCTCCACGGTCATAATTTCTCCCAGTGTGATCGAACATTTGCTGCATGCAAGAGACTAAATACGTCGAAGAGATAGATAATATTCAATGTACGATATATTAACTTATTGCTCGCCTCATATCAGAAACAAAGCATTACTAGTCAAACTCCATTATTACCAAGACTATCTTACTGAGAACAAAAAATGGTGGACGAAAATTCACAAGGCCGACCCTGGCTCGTGTCTGAAAGACAGGCGTGGAAGTCTGGTGAAGCAAAACGAAAGTTAACTTTTCTGTCGAAAATTATGCTTTCCACCACAGACAATCAATTTCAGGAAAAAGTAAAATTATGAATGGTTATCGGCCTCATAAAATAATCGATTTTCACTTTCAAGAACCAAAATGTAGGATCAAAGCTTACTTTCAGGAAAAAAACTTATAACATAAGATGGCATCCTCATAAAATATACTAAATTGCTGGATAAAAAAACAAAATCTATCCAATATAATTCTGAAAACACAAGTTTTAATGAAAAACTATAAATATTGGCCAAATACTAGCAACAGAAGGAGGGCTAATATGGAATTGTTATTGTATGAAATTGTTATTTTAAAGCCCGTAAACTTAGTGTTCGTTCAACTGCACGAGTATGATGTACATGGGTATTCGAAAGCACCTAATCAACAGGAGAATAAGTCGGGAACATATGTAACTCTTTGCTTGAATTAGATCTTCTCCCGCACGATCTCATCTCTATCAAGTCGCCAAAAAGTTTATCATTGTGTTTGTAAAAATTCATTACGCTTTACTTTAACTCTAAGTCCATTGTTTTTTTTATAATGTCCCTTTCACTATCATAAGTCTGTGTGTCATAATTTTAAGAATTAGCATTTCATTGAACCAATCAAATGTTTTTGCCCAGGGCTAATACTTGCCCGAGGACTGAGTTCATAGCTCTGCCTTAACAGAGTTATTGAGTGGTCAACCCATCAACCGGTTGGTCTTTCGAAGAGAATGTTTAATAGTTAAAATTTTGAAAAAATATTTGATCAATATCTCAAAATATAGGTCAGATCTTAAAAGGATCATCTGCTTTAATTTCAATTACTTTCTTGAGATATAAAACCTATACTTTTGTCTAAATATTACACTTTTACCTTTTTGCAATAATTGCAAAACCCAAATACTAACTAAAACAATATTCATGCTTTTGCCAAAAGTGCGCCATCTTCCTGCTTTCCGGAACTATTGCACTCGCTTGCATGTTGTAATATCACGAAATGATTAATTGTTAACGCTCAGACTTTTGTAGTTTGCTATCATACCCTATAGATCTTTTCTGATACTAACCTTTTTTGTTATAGGTAATGCGAATATGCATTCAGCAGAACAACCAACACTAATCCATTCATACAGACAGAACCCACACTACAGATTCGGATTGTTATCCCTGAAGTAGCTCTCAACAACTCATGACCAGACCACGCACCACGAGAACGCCTCCCAACTGCAGCATTCCTCAGAGAAACTTTTTAAGGTCCATTTGCAATACGATTGCTCAGGTAGAAATGGCAAGATTGTAGCGCGACTTGCGCACCCACCACTGGGAGAAACCTTTCAGGTTTATCTCAAAGACCTTCGCGAAAGAACTTTGAGTAAGCACAGGCGACCATCACTGGTGGAAACCTTCATGTTCAATCTGCGAGAACCGTCACTGAGAAAAAAACTTGGTTAATCCACTGCGTACCCACACTGCGTGAATAACCTTTCCAATGGTCCCGTCTGTGAAAAAAACCTTCTCTGAAAAAGATCCTGAGTTAAGCACAATGCGAAACCCACACTGTGGAAAACCTTTCTGTGTTCAATATTGCAGAAGACCTTCGCTCAGCAAAGGACAATTGAGATAACCAACATGGCGCACTCACACTGGTGAGAACCTTCCAGTGTTCCGTGAGTGCAGAAGACTGCAACTATAAAGGAAACTTGAGTACACTGCGCTCCCACAACTTGTGAGAAATCCTTTCCAGGTTCCATGTGTGACGAAAGACCTTCACTCTAAAACGAATCTTGAAAAAGCACATGGCGCACTCACACGCCGAGAAACCAATCCAGTGTTCCAGTGTGAGAAGACCTATTCTCTGTGAAAAAAACTCTTGTAGCACACATGCTAACCCACACTGGTGAGGAACCTTTCCAGCTGTTCATTTTGCAAGAGAACTTACTCAGAAAAGGACAATTGATAAGCACAATGCCACCCACACTGGAGTTGAGAATCATTTTCAGTTGTTCATATCTGCGAGAAACATTTCATCCAAGAAAGGAACTTAGTGCTCACTGCTCACCCACACTGGTGCGAGAAACCATCGAGCTATCGCGGAAAGAGCTTCGTCTGAAAAGACACTTAGGATGAGCAACATGCGCACCCACACTGGTGCGAAACTTTTCCAATGCTGTTCCATCTG